TATTTTGAAGCTAACCTGAAGCTAACTGCATTACACATGGTAAAACTTCCTTACTTGGGGTAGCAAGCTAGGCTTAGCAAATTAGCATCAGCCTTGCAAAAATCCCCAGGAATGCTAGGAACATCACAAATTGCCTTTCTCCTTCCATTTTTAGGAAGAGTGAAAGATTCAAGTTGAGATATGCTAAATTCACATCTTGAATCTTCACACCACTAGATCTAAACCTAAATCAGAACCCAAAAGTCAGGTTCATTTCTGCATCAGCCAAGTTCAGCCAGGCCAAACTGTGTCTGCTGATGTCAGCAGTGCATTAGGCTGTCAACAGCTGCAGTCTCAATGGCTGATGACGTAGGAATAAGCAACTACTTGCTCATGTGTTTTCTAATTCCCTCAAGTCCAAAAAAGAAACTTCGAGTAACAACAAAGATACACAGTTAGTAGACATGGATTCCCAGTCACCAAAGTCTTGCTGTTCATTCATTCCTGTCTCATCCCTGATCCACAAAGCAGCCCAAGTTCAATGGCTTGTTTCTCCCCAAAGATCTTCACACTCAGCTTCCTAACACACCAGAGTGAAAAGCCTCCTGTGTGCATGTCAGAGGAATGGAGGAAGTTATGATTAAATGCTTTGGGCTCCAAAACCAAATGCATGGACATTACTCAACAGATCCTTTTCATCAGGAGGGGAATCAACTCTTTGAAAGGGTGAGCGACAGCAGGACAAGGGGAAATGGTCTTAAGTTGAGGGAAGGGAGATTTAGGTTGGACGTCAGGGGGAAATTCTTTACAGAGAGAGTGGTGAGGTACTGGAACAGGCTGCCCAGGGAGGTTGTTGATGGCCCATCCCTGGAGGTGCTCAAGGCCAGATTGGATGGGGCCCTGGGCAGCCTGGTCTAGCATTAGGTGGGAAGGTTGATGGCCCTGCATGTGGTAGGAGGGTTGGAGATTCATGAGCCTTGAGGTCCCTTCCAACCCTGGCCATTCTGTGATTCTGTGATTCTGTGATCAAACCAAAATTCTACGGCATCCATTCACTTACTGTCAGAGAGTGACTCCCCAGGCATACTGAAATAATACTAAAAAAATAAGTTCCCAATCATAGAAACAGGAGGAAATGCGACAAGACTGAACAATGCTCCAAGTTGTAAACGTAGCAGACTGAATTCTGTTTTTCTGTTACAATGTGTGTGTTACATCTGGAGTTTCTTATTCTAGATTTATAGCAGAGTTGTTATAATTTTACACAGAGCGATGCTGGAAAAGATATCAGTTCATTTAAATTCATATAAAAATTTTTTTCTGGCCAAATTCTACAGATTACATTTTTAGATTGCTGGTCTTCATTTTGGAAGCTCAGCAGGTAGATGGATCTTCAAACATGCTCAGAGTGTTCGTGCATTTGGAAACTGAGATGCGATTGTGACAGGTGCATGGTGCTGAGAATTTTTTTTTAATGGACGTGGCTCTGAGCATCTAAAAGGTAAACGGCATCTTAAGACAGAGAGACCATAACTGTAGGTACACTCCAAACCTAGTTCTATGTTTCCCTCCCATTATGTATAGATCTTCTCTGTTCCTTAAGCAGTACATCTGGTCACACACTGTTGGAAACACAGTTCATTATGAAGAGGCAGTTTACTTAGGTAACTGAAGAGCTTACAAAGAAACCCAAGAGACATTATCTAGATACTGCAACTCACCTTTAGTTTGAGACACAAGAGGTCACATTTTTAGCCTCAGCACTCCATCTTTGAGTAGCAGTGTGATGCAATCATTGCACAGCGTGCATTAAATGGGAGTTCTTGAAGTGCTTTGGGCAGGACATGTTACTGTACAAGTCACAAGGATCAAAGCTTGGACCAAAGGGAGAAGGCATGGGAGAAAATATTGTAATGCCTCCTATTTAATGATGCTGGCCCATGATGTCATAGGCAGATGTTGGTGGTATGGCAGTAGAGGTTTCTTGCCAGTATTTCATTACATTTTGTTGCTGTGGAACAGATGGCAGCAGACGGGCAGTCTGACAGAATGGTGTCTGACATGGAAGTATGTATGAAGCAAAGGGGTGTCACTGAATTCCTCCATGCAGAAAAAATGGCTCACAATGGATGTGAGCACAGTGAGATGGTGGATGGTGCATTTCAGCAGTGGCAATAGTGGCAGTGGGTCACCTACACTGGTTCTGATTTGTACAAGTGCGCCATGCAGACTCTTGCTCATCAGTGGCAAAAATGCACAGCCAGTGGTGGTGACTGTGTGGAAAAGTAGTGTTTTGTAGCCAAGAATATGCTCTGTCAAATACTATTACTGTGCTCTTTGCATCCATCTGTTGGAATTTCCGTGGAAATAAATAGGCATTACTTTTGGAGTGATCTATGTATATCTATACAAAATAATTGCTAACCCTCTAATTTCTTCAGGAGGTATGATAAAAGAATTCTACAAGTTTATTTCTTCAGTTTCTTTGCAGTTTCTATAGATATTGTCACATCACTTAAGGAATAGATACAGCTAGAGGGTAGCTGAAAGTACTATTTGGTATTTATATTTTCTATGATTCAATGATTTACCCTTGCTGAAGCCATGCTGGTTACCACCAATCACCTCGTGTTTATTTTCTGCAGCCCAGAAGGCCAACTGTATCCTGGGTTGCATCAAGAGAAGTGTGACCAGCGGGTTGAGGGAGGTGATTCTGCCTCTTTACTTTGCTCTTGTGAGACCCCATCTGGAGTACTGTGTCCAGTTCTGGAGCACCCAACACAAGAAGGACATAGAATTATTGAAGCAAGTCCAGAGGAGTGCCATGAAGATTATCAGAGAGCTGGAGTATCTCCCCTATGAAGATAGGCTGAGATAGCTGGGGCTCTTCAGCCTGGAGAAGAGAAGGCTCCAAGGAGACCTTTATAGGGGCCTTCCAGTACCTGAAGAAGACCTACAGAAAAGCTGGGCAGGGACTTTTTATAAGGGCACATAGCGACAGGACAAGGGGAAATGGTTTTAAACTGGAAGAGGGTATATTTAGATTAGTTATTAGAAAGAAATTCTTTACTGTGAGGGTGGTGAGACACTGGAACAGGTTGCCCAGTGAGGTTGTGAATGCTCCCTTGCCTGGAAGCATTCAAGGCCAGGCTGGATGGAGCTTCAAGCAACCCGGTCTAGAGGGAGGTGTCCCTGCCTACCACAGGAAAGCTGGAACTAGATGATCTTAAAGGTCCCTTCCAATTCAAACCATTCTATGATTCTATGATTTAGGGTGCTTCTTCATTCTGCATGCTTACTCTTTAACCTCAAAAACAGAAGAAGTTAGGAACTGTCAAGAATGTTTCAAGTTTACATACTGTTTTTCAACTAGAATCTCTCACTATATAAGGAAAGTAGAATCAGACTCCTGTCCTGAGGTCCTTTCAGGCAAAACTCCCTTGAAACCAATGGCAACTTGTCTGATGCACTTTTGCTATAGCTTTGTTGACTTTGAGTCAACAGGAAAGTTAAAGGTAAAAGAACTTCAAAATCTCAAACAGGAAAGCAGTTTTGTAAGTTTACACTGCTGCTTTTTGAACTGGCAGTATTGGCAGAAGCAACTGCACTGTTGATATAGTTATTTGTGTAAGCTGACATATTCCAATTTTATCAGTTTAACATCTTTTATTATTTAGGTATAATGCAAAGACCTTGTAGTAGATTTTTTTAAATAGAAAGTTTGCATAATCTTTCTGCATTAATAGTCTCTCTCAGCAACCCCCCCTCCAAAAGGCAATCTCACAGCATACCAAGGCTCCAGTCCCCAAGGCACTTCCTGAAGAAATGGAGCACAAATGCATGCTGTCACTGCCCCAGTTCTCCCACTTTTCTCTGCTTGTGCAAAAGGAACAGAAATAAAGTTTCCCAGAATTGCTAAACACTCCTAACAAACCTGCTTGGCTTGCTCCCATAGAATTTAATTTACAGAACAAACATCATGCTATCTGCTGTATCTGTACCTTATGTTGTGATAGGGAATACTCACACCTTCTTGTTTAGCCAAGTAGCAGAGAAAGAAAATGACTGAGAGAAAAGCAACAAAGGACAATCCCATGACAATACTCTGCTGTGTTGCAGTGATCAGCATTGCTTGCTAGATCCCACTGTTATGTTTATAACACAACTATCACAGTAGTTAACTAAGCTTCTAGAAGCCAAGAGACTACCAGGTCACTCACTATCATGAATAACTTCCAAGAGCACTTAACAACACGGGGAACTTCAGCCCATATGACCTCACATAATACACAGAGCATCTATCAACCAAAAGCCATTTGTCAGGAATAACAATTCTATCCTTGAACATAAGGGACAACGTCTGGCATTTTTCAACTATCTGGGCATTTTTCTGTTTTTCGAATTTGAGATTGGGGAATACAAGCGTGTTTCCATTTTTACAGTGCAGACTGTGGAAAAAATGGCCCTCCTTTGTTTTTAAATAAACCTCATCTGCCCAAAGCATCAACAGGACTGTTAGTAACTCCATCCTGTCCTCTTTAGTTCTGTATAATCACATTTTATCAAGGAAGGAGAATGTGACGTAGCATGTTACACATCCAAAGGACACCTGGTGGAAGCTCACGTCCTGCAGTGCTCTGTTAGAAAGCCTTTGCTTTCCCAGTCTCACAGTATCTTGCAGGCTTTATTTTCAAGAGCATCCACATGCAAGAACAGTCATAAGCACATGGGCTAATATAATTATTCTATGCAGCTCTGTGAGATGTATGAAGGATAGTACTTTCACTGAGGGTGAAGGACAGTAAATTCTTGGAATTACCCTAGAATGTGCCCTAGAATACCATTATGAAAAAGATCAGTTGAAGGAGCACCTTGAAAATAAAGAAGCAAACCCAAAAGCAGACAAAATTATCATCTCTGTATTTGTATCAACTATGATCTCCTAGGTACTGCTGCAAGAGTTTACAGAAACCTTTAGCATTTTTAAAGCAAAACAGCACAATGCTATGGAAGATACTCACTATGTTCATGAGGGTGAGGAGGTAGTTTTGAACATGTTCTTTGCCATGGAACCGGACGACAGAGTCGTCCACACCTAGCAGCACCTCAATGTTGTAGTCGTCATCTCCTGCGTGCCTGCGTCGCCTCAGGGTTTCATTCAGTTGCTGTTCTACACTGCTGTACAGGGAACTCAGGTCTCCAAGGTCCCCAAGAAGAGATTCTACAATGAAACAGTAAGATATAAACATCCACTCCAATTTCACTTCAGAAACATCCCCCCGCACAACATCTTCACCTGTACAGTCAACACTTCTTTGGATAAAATAAAGCAGAAACTAGGAAGAAAAAAGATTTAGATATTCTATAGGCATAAGAGTGGGGGAAGTCATCAGATACCCACTGAAAAATATAATTCACCATATGGTTCTGTACTTTACTATGTGGTTCTTATAAAACAAAAATCATCCTTAAGTACAAGTTAGACCAAATACTTCTCTTCCTCATCCAGAATTTCCTCCCTTCTTTCTACAGCACATGGCATATGTAGCAGAGTACCACAGACATGGGCTGTGGGATGCTGTACAATGTTCAACTTGTGGCTTTAGTGCCCTTGTACACAACCACTGGAACAGCTAGGCAATTCCTCTTACATTTCATAAGAGTTCTCTGTTTAAAATACAGATGTTTGAATATCCTACCCTATGAATATAGTGAAATACTGGAAGAATCCCATGAGGACATAGGTCAATGGGCAGAGTTATAATAAACTATTTTGAATTGGCTTTTAAGAGGATGTATTTAGTAGCCCATATCTGAAATGACTTAAAAACCATCTCTTCCTCTTAGAAGAGTAAAGCAAAACATTATCATAGATTTTTGACAGGAAAAAGTAACAGCTGTAGGCTATTTAATTCTTCCAAAATTCAAGCCAACACATCAACTGGCTCTAAGCAATAAACAACAGTGAACAGGCCTTTTTGGAACATCTTACACTGCAAATCTTCTGCTAAGTACTGCAGTCCTCACTAGGAATGGGACTGCTCTTAAGTCTCTGGCTCTGTGACAGTCAGAAGCATGCCCATTTCCTTAACTCTTCCATTCAGGAAAAATAGACAATACAGTCCTTAAATACACAGAGCTCTTCCTGCTCTGTGAACCCAGCAAAAACAACCAGCTTCAGAAGGACAGAAAAGAGTACAGTCTTGCTCTCCACTAATGTCCAAGTCTTGTATCAAAAAGGCACATTTCCTCAAATGATGGCACAGCTTTCAAGCCCTATTTCTCTACATAGGAGGTGATAAAAGCCAAGGTTGCAAGTAAATGAATTTGTCCTTCACATATTTTAGTGAAGACTCACAGTAAACTGGATGTAAGCTATGCTCATGGAAAAACAGTAGGACCAGGGCCAATTTTGCAAAATGTGCTGGATGGCCATGCTGTAATTCATCCAGAGCAGATTCAACAACCAGCTCAATTAACTGGAAAACCTCTCCCTCCTTGGTACCACAGTGGTTCACAGTAACACATAAATAACTCTCCCCAAACTCCACATCAAATGGAAAGGTTGTCCCCAGTTGTTTTTAGAAGCTTAGCCTGTCACTGTGGGTGAGAGACCAGGTCTGCAAACAGCTTTACAATTCAACCGCAAGTCCTCTCACTCTCAAGAATGCAAACCCTGTGATAGCACACAAGTGGGAAATTCATAGACAAGCTCCAATTCTAAAAATTGCTGCAGCTGGCAAAGCTGCCGAGCACACTGTCCAATGGAAATATACCAGCAATGTCATCATATCACTACACCCACGGCATGAATGGAATAGCTTGAGATCGGTTCAGAAAGAACCAACTATCTGCTCTGTGTAGAACCTTTGGTTTGGCTGTCACTCCCCCTATTAAATGGGTGGTTTTGTGGTTCAAAAGAAGAGGAGAATCTCTTTCACCATGTGCATGTGAGTGGGCAGGAGGACTCAGAGAAGACTTCTTTTTTCTCACTTCTCTATGTAGCCATTTTCTGCAAACAGAAGATGCACTTAATATGCCACTATTTTCCATATGTGTACTCACAGAATTTTTTCAAGTGTGTAATCCCAACAAAGCAAGAAAAAGTAAACTTACTCTAGGAAGAAATGTAGTGACTGTTTTTGGACAAGATCTGGGAAAAAACACCACAATAAGTATCAGAAACATTTTCAAGCACTGAGCATCGTGCTTTCCTGAAATGCATCTTGTTTTTTCTTTGTACGGAAAACCCAACTCTTCCCCAAACTGGGCTAACAAACAAACAAACACAATTTCAGTCACCCTGTCATGCAGCATATTCTATGAAATGTACCAAGACTTTTCAGGATATTAAGCAGCATCCACTCTCTCTACGTCTTCTTTCTTTTTTTTGGTACGCTGTTTTTTAACTTTTTGTCTATTGCTTCTGCCGCCACTATAAGAACATTCCTTAACAATGAAATGCTAACAGAGGAAAACAAGTATTAATTTAAAGGATGATCTGAGCTACTTATTAGCCAATAATTAATTAACTGCATTCTCTGAGTTACTTTTCTTTACGTCTGTGCTGGGAACCAAAACTGGAAGAAGCTCTTCACCAGAGCATGGTGGACACGGAACAGGCTTTCTAGGGCACTGGTCAATGCCCCAAGCTGCCAGAGTTCAAGGGGTGTTTTGACTACTCTCTTAGATGTATGGTTTGGATTTTGAGTGGTTCTGCGTGGAACCAGGGGTTGGACTTGATGGTCCTTGTCAGTCCCTTCCACCTTGGGATATTCTATGATTCTGTGATAAGTCTTCTCCCTAAACACTCACCATAAATTGCTATGCCCTCTCCCAGGAATCCAGGGTAACAGGAGAGATTCATCTGTTCTCTTGTTTGTCTAGTTTCCATGGTTTATCACTCCAATGACTTCAGAGTCAAACAACCATATACAAAGTCAGTCCATACGCAGTAAGCTCTGTGTTTACAAACACTGCAATCTCCATCTATTGCTAAACACTTAGAATACAACGACAAATGGAACACATGAGAGAGCAATGCAAAGTGAGGAGATGCCTATGTTCCCAGAAACCAGTCATTAAATCTCTTCACTCTGTTCACCATGATTCAGCTAAGTGCTAGTTCACTTGCGGAAATTTTAGAAGAGCACTTTAGTTAGTGAAGCTTTCCATGGGATTAAAGCCTGTTCCCAATACCTCCATCAACATGAAAAGTTTTACCACAATTTGTTATCATGAATATTGGCTAATTCTAAAAAACTATAGTAGAGATCTACAGAAGGAGGACCAGTGGACATTCTTTCTGAGTAACACAGAAAGAGTCCTCAGATGTGCTCTTTTCATATGAGAGCACTGTATTATTGCATACAAAATACAAACATGCAATTTGGAAACTGCCAGGCATATGGATGCAGAGTGAAATACATTAGGTATTTGTATCTAAACTGCTTTATAGAAAACAATAAGGTTATCCAAGTCATTTGCATTCAGTCTGTGCATTGTATTGCTTCCACTGACACTAATGACAGAACTATTACAGTAATGATATAGTGAAAATAATCTTCCGCCTCCTCTCAGCAGAGAGCTTCCGTTTCTCAGAAGGCCACAACCTCTATCATTCACAGTCCATGCAAAAACTGTGATGTGTCATTAAGGAAACTGCAGGAAGAGGACACATGGAAAAATCTTAGCAGAAGGCTATTTACTGCAATATGATTGCTATAACCAGGAAAGAGACCAGCATTTCACATTCAATTCATTCCATAGGTAATAACAGGTACCGGTACTTAAGGGCAGAGTTCAGTCTGAATAATTCCTGCACAAAGTCTTTCTTAGTGCATAAATAAAATTGCTTACTGTGATTCTGCAACACTTTCACAGAACTCCCCTCTATACTGCAATAAATAGCAAACACAAAGATCTTTTTCATTCCTACTCTCCCTCTCCCTAAAACCAAAAGATATATCAATGGTTTTCTTCAGCTCAAATTCTGCCCTCAGCTATATCTGCACAAGTCTGCAGAATTTTAGAGACTGACAGATACCTGCAGCATTAGTAAATGTGTGATACTTAATGGTAGCACTACACACTACTGTAACTCAGGACGCAATGCACTGCTAAGCCTCTAGTGCTCTCTAGGAAATGGTTAGGAAATGTACATGTTTATGTGTGAATATAGGCCTGGAATGTAATGAGCAATAAAGAAAATCAGCATTCAAAAAAAAATCATCTTTTCATGTTGATCCAAGGTTTTGGAAAATCTGAGGTCCTTGAGGGAGGCGTAACTCTACTGTGCATCAACACTGCAGGGAGCACATAATCTGCAGATATCTAAATGTGGCAGTGATTTTGGCACTGAGATGAACTGTTTACACATAGGTAGCCCTGTAGATTTGCTAAGTGAGTGACACAGAAATGGCCTTTGGAAATTCCCTTACTGGCATTTTGGAGCTGCTGTCATGATGTAATAAAAATCAATCTTTCCTAATAAAACTCCTGAAGTTGGAGGAAAGACTCACTTATTGTGAGCGGAAAGAGATCACAGGAACTCTTAGTGAAATAAATTATTTAAATTAATGATCTGAAGACAAAGGTCCTCTACAGATTGATCTGCAAAGCCTATTGGCATTGTCTAACACAGCAAACAGAACTGTTACTGGATGGCAATTTCTTGCTACACACTCAGGAAACTAGCCTGTTTGTTTGCAGATTTGTGCTAGACAGACTAATCCTCCCTAATCTTGTTCTGGAATTAGCTGGTTTATTATCTCTTCCTTTTTTATTTTGCTAGTCATCTGCAACTTTTACTTTACGATTTTACCTATCAGGAAAAAATTAGTCCGTGCTCTTTCATCAAGTGAAGTAGTTATGTAAACATGTGGGTAGTGGGACAGAACATATGAGATTGTAGACACATGTGCAGACCTGTATTCTTATTTTATTTTTTTCCACAGGACGCATCACAGCCTGTCTCATGCATCATGTAGCAAAAATAAGGAGAACAAAGAATGACACCTTCTTCCAGTCCAGCTGGGGTTCCTCTGCCAAGGAAAGGCAGGAGGAGTTTTGCTCATGAAGCAAATGAAGTAGTGGAAATGGAACAGACACACCAAAAGGAAATCTCCCCCACATGCTTTGTCATCGTATTTTGCTGAAAACCGCGGCTGCTAGCCTTGCCTTGTGCCACCTCTAGAGACTTGGAACCATGCTGCTGGAATC